AAGACCATCAGAAAACATAGACATTTACAATTCCCAACTGCAGCAAGATTACAGTTGTGAAGTAGCAACATAATAATTTTGTGGTTGGGGGTCACCATGCATGAGGAACGGTATTAAAGGGTGGCAGCGTCAGGAAGGCTGAGAACCACTGCCTTATAGTCCACTGTGGAGCAGAGTCAACCTTTCCTGTCCCACATACCAGCTCCCAAATAACCCCAAAGAGACTTATTGATTGTGAAAGCTCAGCCAATAGCTTAGGCTTGTTCCTAACTGGCTCTTATAATTTAAGTTAACCCATTTCTATTGATTCACTTTCTGCCTCGGGGCTTTATTACCTTCACTCTGTACCGAACATGCTGTTTTCCTGCTTCCTCCGTGGCTCTGCCCTTCTTCTTCCCAGCATCCTCTCTGCCCCGAAAATGCTGCCTAGCTATTGGTCGTTTATCTTTTTATTAAACCAATCACCGTGACACATATTCACACCGTGTGAAGGAATATTCCGCAACACTGGAGGAAGCCAAGGCAGAACCTGAAGCAGAGAGCACGGAGGGATGCCTCTGTGGTTTGCTTCCTCTGACTTGTTCCGCTATGTGAACCAGGCCCACCTGCCTGGGGGGTGACACAGTGAGCTGGGCCCTCCTATGTTAGATAGCAATCAATAAAAATGCCCCACAAACCATGCCCACAGGACAATCTAATGGCGGCAGTTCCTCAATTGAGGTTCCCTTTTCCCAGGTGTGTCAATACATGCTCCGAGCTGACACCTGAGGGAGGCAGAAGTTGGGGACAGATGTGTTAATAGTAGCAGTAGACGTCTCCCATATCTGACTTGCTCCAAGGCCATCCTAACCACTAATGTAACATCCTCCAAGGAGGGCTCTGGAACATTTGGGGCTTATTATCTATCCTTTCTCCTGTGCTTTCTTGAATCATCCTCCCTCGCTTTCTTCCAGCCCAGCTCCCCGTACGCTCCTTCAGGAATCTTCCAGAACCTTCTGTAAAAGCCATTCAAAGGTGAGAAACACTATATACGTGGAGACCAAGACCAGCTCATCCCAAACTGACGGCCACTTCCTGCTGGTGGCAGCAGAAGCAGTTCCTAGCCGAGCTGATCTCCTGTCTTCCCTCTTACGTGCCCCTATTTTTCTTGCCAGCAAATCTGACCAATGGCCCAAAGACTGAGGACGGTGGAGCATGCACCCATGAAGGCCGTGGGCGTCACAGAACCAAGGTTGAAGGACAAGAAGATGGTATTGCCGGCTTTTCATCTCCGAAGGCAACAAAAGGCTGGGACCGCTAGGCAACCTTGAAAGAATCTATTATTCCTAGCCAGGCCAAAGGCTGTTGGAGGCTACCAGAGGCTAGTAATATTCTCCCAGTCTTTTTATTGTGGTAGGATATTGAAACTATAAAACTTAGCGTGTTAATATTTTATGTGGGTGGTTGGTTGGCATCTGGAATGCTCTCACTATTCTCTAACCGTTTTGTTCACATGGGCTCCAGAGCCTTCTCATCCTTCCCACGAAGAAAGCTTCACACTGACCAAGCTTTCTTTGTTGTCCCATCCCTCAGTAGCCACATTCTGTTTCTATCTTCTGGACTGAGCTCCTCTAGACCTCCCATATAAGGAGAACTATATAATAACCATAATGTAGTGATGTCAATTTACTTAGCGTAGTGTCTTCTGGGTTCTTCCGTGCTGTGCTACAATTTTCTTCCTTCTTGAGACTTCTATGAGCTATCTTTCTGGTGCTGTGCTTAAAAAAAAAAAACATAACCAAAAGCAACTTATGGAAGAAAGAGGGTTTTGTTTTTGTTTTTTGTTTATGGTTCCAGAGGGACAGGAGTTCATCATGATGAGTGGGCTTGGCAGCGAGTGGTAGGCATGGTGGCAGGAGCAGGAAGGGGGAACTAGATAGAAGGGCGAGCCTGTAAACTCTGAAAGCCCACTCTCGGTGACATACCTCCTCCAGCAGGCCTGCATCGCCTTCCCATTCAACGGCACAGTCGGGGATTAAGTATTCAAATGTCTGAGCCTGTTCTCACCCAGACCACACCTTGTTTCACCATCCATTGATGGATGGGCACTTGAAACCACGTGAATAATGCCGCAAAGATCAGGAGTGTACAGACCTTTGTTTGAGACCGTTGGCTCTGAGTGAATGCCCTGATGGAGTTTGTGTTGAAATATGAGCGGCGGGGCTGCGTCCCCAACACCCCGGCCGCTTGGCTAGCTTATGCCCGAAATAACAACACACAAACTGTATTCATTTAACTGCTTGACCCATGAACCCTAGCCCTTACAGACTAATTCTCGCACCTGGACTAGCCCATTTCTAGTAATGTGTGTAAGCACCCCAAGGTGCGCTTACCGGGAAGATTCTAACCTACGCCCATCCTGGGGAGCTTCATGCCTCTGCCTCAGAGCGCAGAGCTATCGTGTCTATCCAGCAGAGCTGAGCATGGCTTCTCTCCAGGAGCAGAGCAGAGTCTGACCTCACTTCCTCTTCCGCCCAGAATTCTATTCTGTTTCCTCCTTCCATCTATCTTTTAACCTATCAGGGCCAAGGAGTTCCTTTATTGCTTAACCAATGAAATCAACAGGTTGATATGACACTCCCACATCAAGTTTGGATATCAGAAGTGTCTCCCAAAGGTGCGTGTCTGGCCTCGGGAAAGCGAGGAAGTCTCCACACATACCTCTCCGTAGTAAATACAAGTGTTGCTGGCATCATGCCAACCTCGTTTCCTAGGCACTCTGGGCAGGCCAGCTCCACTGCTGCCTCACAGGTTGGCCGTGGCGAGGCCAGGATGAGGATGTTCCTGCTCCGATGGACACTCAAGTTGGGAGCACGGTTCACTCTAGGGTATGCCTGCTTTGCTTTCAGTCCAGTTGCCAATAGCAACCAGACCCTCATAAATAAGTGTGAGGGAGATCCCCTGGAGTCTGGCTTGAAAAGTCCCTAAGGAACAAAGCCATACCTGTGTCTTCCAGCAGAGGTTGGGTTCTTGTCCCTCATGTGCCTTAGTTCTCGGTTGCTAGGCTAAAATACCATGACCAAGACAGGGAGAGAAGAAAAGGCTTGCTTGGCCTTAGGGTTCCAGAGGGATAAGAAAAGTCCAGTTGAGGGGTGCAGAGGTGTGGTATCAGGAATAGGAAGCTGAGAGATCACATCTTGAACCACAAGCAGAGACAATGAACTGGAAATAGCACAGAACCTTTTTTTCTTATTAATTAAAAATTTCCATTTATTTTGCATTCTGATCACATTTTCCCCTCCCTCCTCTTCTCCTGCCCCCCCCTCTACCTGCTCCCATCCACTCCTCCTCTGCTTCTGTTCAGAAAGGGGCAGGCCTCCCATGGGTGTCAACAAAGCATGGCATATCAAGTTGAAGTAGGACTAAGCTCCTTCCTTTGAATTAAGGCTGAGCAAGACCACCCAGTACGGGGAACAGGTTCCCAAAGGTCAGCTCAGGAGTTTTTAGACTCTCAAAGTCCATCCAGAGTGACACACTCCATCAAGTCTGTACCTCCCAAACCTTCCCAAACAACCCATGACAAATACGGGAGCCTGTGGGGGACATTCTTGTTCAAACCACCACACGATGAGTCAGCTGGCAAGTTGTTGAGTCCTAGCCAGTAGGGCAGGACCCTTGCAATGCCAGCAAACAGGAAAGGGCAGGGCTGGCAGATCACACCAGCTACTGCCGTCTCAGCCAGGCCAGGCTGGGCCCTGGAGATTAGTGGAGTGAGGCTCTGAGGGGGCAAGGCTCTGTCCCTCTGTCCCTGGGCCTGTTCTCGCCTGCCTCCCGGGCCCCTGCAATAACACTTAGCAGGCTGTGGGATGATGACCCATTGCACAGCTATAAACCTCTTGGCCTGGCCTAGAGAAAGGGCCTCCTTAAAGGAAGAGACAGTGAGGGACCGCCCACTATGGTCCCACCTGGGGAAGGCTTCTGTCCAGCTCCGTCCTGGCTAGAGATGGTTCATGTGGCTTTTCCTCCCTGCCTGTCTCCTGCTCTGGTCACTACAGCAAAGGCAGGAGAAAGCTAAACACTGCAGGACTCGTTGGCGTGGGATTGGGGCGGTCCTAGGAAGCCGGAGACGACATTGTAGTGGGGGAGGGACTCTCTAGAGGCTAACCTGTCCATATTTTCATACGTAGGCATGCATGTCATTTAATCTGTGAAGGCTCTTCCATCTTTCCCTTTTAGAGACCCTCATTTGATCCTTTTTAGGATATGCTGAAAATAAAAATTCGCCTAATAATATTTGACAAATAAGGAGGAACCTCAAAGGGACTTGTTATTTGCAGTTTAAATTTAAAAGTAATTGTAGGGTTTGGGTTTTTTGTTTGTTTGTTTGATTTTGGTTCTGGGGGTTGACCCCAGGACCTTGCACGCACACATGGGAGCCAAAGACTCTCTCCTGCTCAATCAGAACCTCAATCTCGTATACTTTGGCAAGAAGTGGGGGTAGCCCTGGCTGGCTAAAATTCGTTATGTAGGCTAGGCTGGCCTCAAATTCACAAAGCTCTACCTGCCGCTGCTTCTGGGAGGGCTGGCTTTAAAGGCATATGCCACCACACTCTGTTAGTGGACACTTTTTATAAATGTAAAAAGGCCATATCCTGAGGCCTTCTGAGAGAGAAGAGCGCGGTAAAACCCATCCCGATCTGCTCTCTGCTTTGCCTGTTGCTCACAAGTTTACCTTTTTTGCCCCAAAAGGATTAGTACTATTTGCCGAGGTTGGGCCTTGTCTTTTGCCAGGATGCATTTTCCAAAGGGGAGAACGGACTCGTACTTTGGAAAACACCAAGTCCTGTTTGTTTTCTGTTTCTTGAGAAGCCAGCCCTGGAGCGGCTGGCAGCGGCGAGCACAGCTCTCCAGCGTTGTGTAATGGCCAGGGAATCACGTTGCACCCGCTGCTTCCACAGACTTGTAACTGCAATCCCAGCCAGCTCCGAGTCACGTGTCCGGGTCACGTGGCCTGCCAGACAGAGAAGCCGGCTGGCAATCATTAACTAATGCTTTCTCCCAGGGAGAAAAATGCAGGTTTTAAAGAGGCCGGGACTGCAGGATTGCAATAGAAGGTATCCGGGGTGGGTGGGTGACTTATTCTCTCTTAAGTGCTTTCTAAAGGAGATGGAAGAGCCCGCAAGCACCCCCTCATTGCTTGCTTTCTTCTCTAGAATTGCAAACTTGTGCTGCGCAGCTTGCTTTTCCAGACCGGCGGCAGCCAGGGCCAGAGTATCAGAACCTTGGAGCCAGAATGCTGTCCCAGCGCTGTGAGGATTGGACCTCAAAGGAGTTCTGGGTTAAAACTCATGGAGAGCCAGGTGTTCTGTGCCTTAGGAAGTTAGTGCCAGGAGTTCCCCGAGGAGCGAGAGGGTGGGAGGAGGCACGTGAGCCTGTGGGAGCCTTTGTGGAGTTCTCATTACCCCGAAATCTTGCGGTTGATAAGACCAGACACTGCCTGCCAGGCGGTTTTCTTGCTCAACCTTTGGATTTAGAAGTTGCTTTCTCCTTCTCTGGGTTGGGCAGTGTTCCTTGGTGTTTTCGAAATCTGTGCAGCTGATTTTGTTTGATTTTAGCATGGAAGTGACAATAATGGGCAGGATAAAAAAGGGCAAAGCTTTGTTGGAGGGAAGAGGATAAAATGCAGAGAAAGGGCCTTAGCAGTAAAACAAAAACAAAAAAACACGTGCTTTCAAAATCTCAGAGTTCTATTTTTCATATTGTGTAAAAAGTTTTTTTTTTCTTCCCAAATACAGTGCAGTAAGGTTTTGGTCTTGTGTGGGTGGAGTGTGAGGTCAGCCCTGTCTACACAGCAAATCCCAGAACAGCCTCAACTGCACAGTAAGATCCCGTCTCAAAAATAAATAAATAAAACGACCGAAGGTGTATCCTGTTGCCTATATAGCCCACCAGTTTTTAAATGTAGTTAGCCGATTCAGTGATTCTGTGATCCCACGAGAATACGTTTGCAGGGTACTAATTTCCTTTGGGTTTGTACTCAACAAGAAGACTTGCTTATAAAAAAAAAGTTGATTATCTATGAGCTATATTTGTTGTTCAAGAAATGCAGTAAAATTCCATGTTTCTTAAGTTCTCCAAAAGTAGTTTTACAAGAATGGGTTTTCACTGAATCTGTTGTTTTAAGATTGCAGTTAGTAAGAGTAGTATGTCATAGTATGTTTTCAGCTGCTTGGATAAAACACCGTGACCAAAATCTGCTCGTAGACAAAAGGGTTTACTTCAAGTTTACAACTCTCTGGTCAACGCCATCTCTGAGGGAAGTCAGGGCAGCAGCTCAAGGCAGGAACCTAGCAGCCGCAATGGGGTAAGGATGGTAAGGATGCTGACTGGCTTGCTCCCCACGGCTTGCTCCACTTGCTTTCGTATATAAACCCAGATCCACTTGCTCAGGGATGGCACCACCCACGTGGGTTGGTCCCTTCCCCCATCAATCAGTGTGAGATGAGGCTCACCTAACCCAGGCTGGTTTCTGTGTGACTCCTCATCCTCCTGCCTCCGCTTTCAAAGTGCTGAGATTACAGGCATGCACCCCTGTAGTTGGCCAGTGTTTCATCTTAGCTGCCCATCACTGAATTTATGGGAGAATGAAAGAATATGAAGAAAGATCCCGATGAAAAGGAAATGAACGTACTGTGGAAACGGGAGGCATCTTGGATTGAGCAAATCCAGTATGCTGTATTCCGTTGATAATTTGAAGCGTACCAAAAAATGATCTAGACAGGCAAAGCCTGGCATGGTGGCTCACACCTGTAATCCCAGTGCTCGGGAGTTAGAGGCTAGAGGATCAGGGGTCAGCCAGCCAAGGTGACCAACTGCTTTAATCCAGCACTCGGGAGTCAGAGGCAGGTAGACCGCTGAGACCTCAAGGCCAGTTTGGTCTCTGTAGTTAGTTCTAGGTCAGCTGGGGCCACCCAGTGAGGTCCTGTCCTTAAAAACAAAAGCAAAACAAACAAACAACAAACAAATGCTAAAAACAAAAACTCCACAAATGAACAACAACAAAGAGAGGTCCAGGAATTCAGTGTCAGCCTTGGCCAGTTTGAGGCTAGCCTGGGTTGAGACCAGGTAGCAACAAAACAAAACAAATCTCCATAGCAACCCATTTGGATGAGTTATGATAGAGATAGAATTTGTGAGACAAAGCTAGAAGCACACAGGGATGGCCGCAGAAATATGTCATTCTGAGGGGTGTTGTGTACCCCGGCATGAGGGACTGAGCTGCAGCCATGTGCGGTGAGTGGGGGCCTTCCACACTGGCCTCAGCCCATCCCCCAGGAAATAACCATCTTCCTTCGGCATGGTCAGAACTGATAAGTTTTGAATCCCCAGTTAATGGAAATCTGCTGCCGATGTAATAAAGCCAATCGAACTGAATTATTAAATCCAGGTTTAATGAACAGAGCAAAGCAACTCCTGGGTGACTCTCAGGTGGGCAGGAGAAGAATCACCTGGCAAATATGGCTACAGGGCTTTTAGTAGCCTATAGGTGGGGTCTTGAGCAGCTCCAAGGAGGGGCAGACTTTGGGCTGGCTTTTGGAAGGGTGGAGTTTGAAGAGGGCAGCTGGGGGGGGGGCGCGTTTGGTGCACTGAGGGTGGGGTTTGGAAGGGGAGGAGTGAGAGCCGAGATCCCAGACAAGGACTATTTGCTGTTTTGTTTGGCTTCTGACCTGGACTCATGGATGAGTTACAAGGAGAACAGCAGCTGCTTTTCTCGCTGTGAACGAGTGCTCAGGCCCAGGGCTGTGGACACAGGTCTGCACGGGTTCTGCACATGACTTCCAGGCCTTCTGTTTCGTCAGCCACTGTATTGAGTGCCTTTCTTTGCTCACAGGAAGAACACGAAGCACCCCACCATCTGTTACAGACCCCAGGTGCTTGGGCAGAGCATCCTTGCCAAGGAGGCCAGCTAGGAAGCAGGAGAAAAGAGTCGTGGCTCTTTAAGTGATTAAGAATCTCTCCTGGCAGGGGGTGGTGGTACCACCAGCTGCCTTTTATCTCAGCACCCAGGAGGCACAGACAGGCAGATCTCTGAGTTTGAGGCCAGCCTGATCTACAGATTGAGTTCCAGGACAGCCAGGGCTGCACAGGGAAACCCTGTTT